AGGTAGTAGAGATAGGAGAAAAACCAATGATAGAAATACCCAGCAATGGTAGACATACCACTTACATTGGTAACTTAAATGGAGGAAGGATGAACAGAATGGGAAATCAGGAAAGCAACCCATAGGGAAAGCCTGGCCTGTCTGGCAAGGAACTAGACAAAAAACCATGTATGAAGATGGAGTGTTGGAATAGTAGAATGTAAGCACTCAAGAAAGTATGTCTGAGGAAAGTGGGTAAGAGGTGTCAATAGAAGCAGGTGCAGAAGTGGAAACCACAGCACAGCTGTGCTGGACAAATTGGTGCCACCAGGAAGACATAACATAAAGTGGTGTGAATAATGGAGAAAGCATGTGGAAGAATACAAGTTGAGGGATACACATAGAGGGAAAGCCCCCCACCCCCAATTCTGACAGAGGGCATTGACAGGTCTAGTCAAAAGATGTGGAATAGGGGACCCAAAACCTCAAAAGCTTGGAATGCAGTTGGGTGGCAATTGAATCCAGTTCTGGAGTACCCCAATGGGAACAGCCAGCCAAATATTTGTGGGTTGAGGGATGACCCCGTAGGGATAATCTTGTAAGGGCATGATAAACGAACTACAACCAGAATCAGGGAACCCAGTATGTGATACGCTAACAAGTGAATGCAATGGTTGGTGTCCCAAAACATGGAGGTCCAACATGTTGAAACAAAAAGACCTCAACCAAGTGCCCCTTGCCAAGTGAAGGGTGATACAATCGTTGAGTTGTTGGAATGGAACACAACCGATCTGTTCTGGAGAGACGAAAGGAAGTGAACCAAAGCCCGACAAGCAATGAGCAATTCCAAAAAATTTATATGTAGAGATAACTTGTCAATAGACCAGTGGCCCAAAAGCTCCTGCATGTCGATACGCACCATAACCCAAAAGAGAATCATCCATAAGAGGTTCACTCCCAGACGAGGAGTAGGAACACCCACTGTGGAGTTGTCTTTGTCCAACCACCAAGTCCAAGTGAAGACCATATGAAGGTAAGGAGGGAGATGGATAGGGGCATTCAAGGGATGCCAAACAAAGTTCCAGCATTAAAAGTTCCACTGATCTAGTAAAGACCACTGAAGATGTTGCACGTGGGCTTGACCTAGGGGAATTAGGGCTTCCAAAGAAGCTCACATCCCCAAAAGAAAGAAACCTCTCTTACAGATGGAGAAGGAAAGGAAGAAATGGTCCAAACCAGAAGCTTTATAGATAGCAGACAAAGGAGAGAAGGGTGGGCCTGGCTGAGACATGAATTAAAAATTACTCTGAGATGAACAAGATATTGAGTGGGGAGAGGAAGGACTTCTCCACCTTGACCAGCCAACCTATCCATGCAGCCTCTTGAATAAGAAACTGAGGAGAAGAGATTGCATGCAAAGGAACTAGAAGCAGCCAGTCATCCATATGATGGTGGAAACGAAGGCCCTGGAATGGAGAGGATGGGAAAAGGCCTTGATAACCCAAGAAAAACATATGGAGCCAAAGCTAGCCCGAATGGAAGAGCCCGGAATTGGTAGATGCAACCACAATAGATAAAATGCAGAAAAAACCAGGATGCTGGGGAGATGGGAATGTAGAAGTAAGAATCCAAAAAAGGAAAATCAGACCTATGGAAAGTCATAGTATGGGCTTCCATATTACGTGTGGGTCGAGGCATTCTAACCCTAGAAAGTAACAGGTTTGCAAACCTAATGACATGAACCCCAATATCCAGTGAGGTGGGGGGAGAAAAAGATATTGGTCTAAAGGATTCTCATTGAAAAGGGAAAGACAAACATAAAACGTAACATATCTGGTTTAGTAACTCCAGGAAAGGAGGAGGAGGCATGGCACTGCAACTGTAGCTAAACGTGACTTTGTGGCACAGGAAGGGGAGGAAAGAGGCTGCTGAAATCCACGTCCTCATGTTCAGGTACCCCTTAACAAGGCACGAGAGGAGACTCCACAGGTGAATCAGGAGCCCGCATGAAGGTAGCCAACTAACAGCAAACCAAGGACTTAACATTTCTTTCTGACAGTTGTGGACCCAGAAGTTGATTTATTATTTTAAGTAAGGTTAACTGTATGAGAAACTGCAGCAGCAGTAGCTGGAAGGTGAAACTCAGAATCCATTTCAACACAGAATGGAAATAGAAAAGTCCAAACTGTGAGCTCCAAAAAATTACTTATTATAATAAAAGACACATAACACAAAAAAATCTCAGAACAAAAGTGTAGCAAACATAAAGATAAAAACTAAGTTTTCATAAAAATAAGGAACTGATTGACAATTCCATAAAGGAAAGCACGTGCAAAGAACATGTCTGAACATCAATCGAGAAGTGAAGGTTGGCTAAGCTCCATAGAAGTACGTGAGCCGTGCTAAGAGCTGTATCACACTCCTATTGATGGAGGGTTGTCACAAGTTCATTTGCATGCTATCACTCATGAGGGTAGGAGGGAGTATCAGAGCTAGTGGTGAGCAAAAATTTGTACATATAGAGGGCAATAAAAGACAGAAAAAAGATATTCTGTGAGTGGAGGTAAGATATATCAGTTTTACATTGTAGTTACTTTTCTTAAAAGATATGTGACAATAAACAAAAAATTTACATATTAAAAAGTTTTCAACTTACATTAGCGTTGAGGCCTATTTCAGTAATGATGAACTACCACCACAGAATTGACGAGGAACAACATATTTACTGCACGTTTTGGAACATACACACATTTCATCTTCAGCAATTTCCTACAGTGAACAAAACTCTTGATTACAAGTAACCACCAGTATGTTAAATAATAAAAACTTATGTACTATGAGAATTCTTTTTAAGGGCAATACTAAAACTGAAAACAGAAGGGGGGGGGGTTGTAAAACCATTCAGCAAACTTGAATATAATAAATACCCACAAAAAAACTAATATGTAAAAGTATCTATATCACTAGCAATAAAAAATTAAAGTAGGCAAAATACAACAGAAGTTGCATTATTATTTAAGATAAGGAGATTTTAATAAGTAGACTAATGAGAAGTTCCAATGTATAAAGCTCATGGCTAAAGTTTTAAAGTCAGTTGAAGAGAGTTGTTGTTTAGTAATTTGTGTGTGGAAATAGAAGAGGTGCAAGCAGATGATAAAAGATGACCAGTTCTGTAAAAAATTCCTATGTGTTCATGAAACGTATTTTGCATAGACCACATGTATATGAGTAAGTGAGGTTGGAATGTAGTTTTTTGAAGGAAAAAATATCTTATCTGATATGTCAGTTTAAAGACAATAGGTATTTTGAGATTAATACACAAGTCAAAAATGTGTCTGTATATATATATATTTATAAAAACACACATGTAAAGAGGTGGTTATTTCTGAATACTATATTGAAGGAGAAAGAAAAAGTTTCATCACATGCACAAAATGAAAATTTGTAAGAAATCCAGATAAAGACACACCTCTTTAAAATTAAAGGCTTGTTATTTGTTCTTTTAATCTTGGTGTCACATGCTGCATTTCATCTCATTTTTTCACTTTATGGGAGGGATGTTTAAAATTATATTATTCTAAAGAGATTTTACAAATTAAACCCATTCAACTTCAAAGCATAACTTATGATCAAATTCAAAAACTATTCCATTTTAATTTAAGCCAAATGTTTTGATTTGATTCATTTTTAAAAACTTTGGTTTTACCTATCTTGTTTTTGTATTTTTAACGCGAGGTCATCCACGTGCAAATATCTTTACTAATCTACCCTTTATAATATTAGTTTTACAAGATGCACTCTATAGTCTATTACAACACTAATGTTATTATTACACTTTACTAACAAAAGTACTAACGAATAACGTTATACATAACTACAAAGTACAATACACAAACCTAAGCTACAACCTAAAGGATTAGGTACTGCTAAGCCTAACCGTTATCGTTTCTTACTACTGTTTAAATTTTAGCCTAATCACAACGTAAGTTGGCGGAATATATTCAAGTCTCAACGAAACGTACATTAAAAAAATAACATTTGAAAAAATGCAATACAAAACTACAATTAGGAGAAAATATATCAAATACATATAAGAACAAACTATTTATTTATGTCCAATCGTAACAAAAGCAAGACCGAACACTAACCGTCGTTTCCTTTACCAGCTGTGTACTTTCATACACTTTACTAAAACTTCACTCTTGAGTACTAAACTAACAAAATGTTAGTATTAGTATGCATATATAAATAGTATAGAAGATAACGATTTTATTCAATTATAAATCTGTAAAATAAATACAGCGACAGTATAATAAATTAGAACATTGCTCACTACTATACTCATCAAAACAATATATTTAATTTCAAAAATTACGTAACAGTAAGTTTAAATTGAAAACGTGAGACGAAACCAGCATTAATTTTGCCTGAAAATTCAGTATATAATAAACGCTTTTTGACAACAAACAGAAAACAAAAAGCGTTAGTAGGAAAAATGTGTATATATAACCTACCATAGCCTTGAATAAATAAAACCTAACATAAAATGTCCTTTTTAAAAAACAATAAGTATACGTACTATATCTGAATTTGTGTGGTTATGGCGCATATATAAAAGTAGATTGTCTCCTTTAAAAATATATTCATAATCTATTCTTTTATATGAACTAATTTTGTCAACAATGCATTAAATACATACGTATATACAATTATCTAAACCACTAATAAATATAAACATGTTTTTAATATTTAATGTAATTGTGTTGTCGTGTTAGTTACTGGAAAGTTAAAGCTTAGATTTTGAAATTAAGAAAGCGTGACTTGGCGAAAGTTCTGAAAGCGAACCCTGCTTCTTCAAGAAAAAGTCCAGGTTATTCTATGTTACTGCCTATAGGCAATATTGCACGGACAGTTAAAATGGACAAAGTAGCTTTACTGATAAACTTAAAACTACATAAAATCGAATAAAATGTAAATACTTTCATTTTAATTGAATGCATATCTGTATTAATAACTAAATGTAAGATCGTAAGACTTATGAATTTCATAGACTATTTGCGTAAATTGAATTAAGTTACAATAAATATTAGAAACACGGTAATTCAAAAAGACCGGTAGT